ATATATTCTATATGTCATACTGTATATAACTTTTCTTAATATTTATTTGTATATTATGAGAGAGAGAGAGAGAGAGAGATAAAGTCTCCACCGGCTTGAGGCGAAATGTTATTATAGGTGCTGAGCAGTGATACTCGTTCGCAGTCATAATTGCATCAGTGGTTGTGTGCGCTATGCTATGCACTCCAAACCGTATTAAACACAACGCTCTACACATCCATTGCCATTATATGCCGGTCTGTTGTCTCGGCTCAAGACATCATCGTTTTCAGTGTTGGCAACAGATCCTGTTCACTAACATTTGTGCACAAGCAATACGTTTAGCCCATTATACCTGTGCTTCAAATATCTACTGTATATATACTCCGCATATATCCATAAGTTTTATATACGATATGTTATAATAGTGAACGAAAGACAGAATTTTCTTCATATTTGTCTCCACTCTTCACTCATATATTAATTATTTATAAATCAAATGAAATAAAGTACTGTAATATACCGTTTCGGTAAGTATTCATTCAATTGTTATAGTGTGTAGCATTAGATGAGAGTACACTTTAAGTGTGATATTCATATAATATACTGTATATAACTTATAGACATATAGATATATTCTTTACACTAATGTATATACGAAAGTAATATATTTTGATTTTTGATGCATAACTTGTTTATTGCATTTAATGTAATGTTTAATGTTTGGTGAATCAGCTCTTTATCATACTATCATCATTACGATTACATATCAAAAAACAAAAATAAAAAAACAAGAATTCATTTTTGCATTGAATTTTTGTCGCTTATAATGAGTTCACAAAGTGTGTCGATAGTTGTGATGTTAAATCTATTTCACTTGATATTACAAACATTGAGCATTTTTTTCTCTTGTTTTGCATATATTTCTCAACCACTATAAGAAAGTAGAACTCAATTCTTTCTCTCTTTAGCTACTATTCCTATACCTGAGAATTATATTCTTATATATTGTTATTGTATTAATAATATAATAAAAAGAATATATATTAATAGTGCATATATTCTATATGGCATACTGTATATAACTTTTCTTAATATTTATTTGTATATTATGACAGAGAAACTTATGTATATATAACTATATGTATTAAACAATGCTATTTGGCTAACAGTATGTCTATATATTTTCTCATTTAGGTTGTCATGCCTACAAAGCAAAAATAAAAAATTACAATAAGTTTCAATTTTGAATTTGGGCCTCACTTTCACCACCACTACTACCACTACCGGTGCGACACTCGTATTGTAGGCGAAGATATTCTTCAAGAACTTCTTCGTCGCATTGATTTTGCAGTTTTTTTCTGTCGACACAAAAAAATAGTTTATATATATCTATAAACCAATTCACTGTTTACTGCAAAGTATTTGGAGGGGAAACGAGAAGCGAAGTACTAAATCGTAAAAACTTCTTCAAATCAGAGTTATATGTCATATATATATAATTCTCACAGTATTTGTCAAATCATCAAATATTAATAAGTGAAAGGCAACCGAAAAAAAGTTTTATAGATATTCTTTGCGCTAAAAGGTAAGATTCATTGCGTTTTTACTTTTTTCACTATTACTTTATATTTTAACTAACAATTTATTCGGTATATTCTTCGCTCCCTTTACTTTTAAAAGAGATATATATTTGTATCACTTTTTCTTATCAAAAGACACGGGAGACAGAAAACGAGAGACAAAACTTTTTTGCTATCATTTCTATTGATAGTGTTTTACTCGCAAATTCTCTGATCAAACAATCAGTTTCTTTAGGTTTGTTTTATCTTCACTTTTAGAGCAAAACTAAAACGTATTTAAAGAGTGATAAGTGTTTGGAGAGAGAGAGAGAGAGAGAGAGAGAGAGAGAGAGAGAATATGAAAAATTCATATAAAAATTATTATACAATCAATAACTTTTTGCACATCTCTTAAATAATACAAATAGCAAAGAAATCTAATTTATTTATATAGAGAAATAGATATTTATATGTATTATATGTTTAACAGCGATTGATTCATGTATATAAACATATTATAATAGCATTTATTTATTCACAATATGTTTTAAATAATTATACGTTTGTCTTAAATATGTTATTCAAAAGAGTGCCTAAACTATTGAATAATTAATGCCGTATTTAAACAAATCAGACACAAAAAATACATAACACTAGATAAAAAAGACAATATATTAAATCATTGAATAAATGAATTCTCGTTTTATTTATTCACTCAGATTTTGTTTGTTATTCATTTGACACATCGATAAGTAAATTAAGTGATGAAAATTTGTAATTCAATGCCCGCTATATTTAAGGCAAATTTGTAGTAAAACTTTACATTCAATTTAAATACCAGAATCGGTTCACTTCTCAACCGCCGATCCCATCAATAGATGGCATAATACACTCCAAAAGCAAACTTCTCTCCCATTCTCTATGCATTCAAAGTGCATAAAATGTTTGCAATGAATTTGTCGATAAGCTTATGTATTTTTCTAAACATATATCGGGGTATAAATGGTTTAATCAAAATATATTCCCTGTATATTTGCTATATTTGTTTAATTATCTAAATTTTCCTAATTATAATGTGTTTCGCAACACTTGGTTAAGAATAGTCAACTCCTGCGAGGAAATGATCGCTCGATTCCCTGTCAATAATCTCAATACGAATTCTGAATACGATTTCTCTATTCAATGATATTATTATTTTGGACTTATATTTGTTTTGATGTTAGGAATGGAGAGATTTCTGTCGCTTTTATGTAAAGAATTGTTTTGTGAGAAAATTGAATGATATTTAGTTGCGTTTCGTTGTGTCAATGTTTGTGTCGTTGAATGAGATTTTTTTCGTTATATTTCTTTATATTTTTTGCCCAACAAATTGCAAAACGATAGGAATAGCGCACCTGTTACTGATGCCGGCCTATGGGTATTGTATGGTATGGTTTATACTTGTATGTTATGTGTGCCTAAACCCATAGAGAGCTATGCATTCGGTTAGTTTCTCTCATAGTCTTAGCGATTGAGTCGATGCCTCTCTTGAAAATACCACTCTCTTTGCCTCTCATCGACGGCACAAAACTCTGTACACACTCTCGACTCTCTCGGTGTCTCTCTCGCCAACAGTCGCCGCCCAACGATTGCCAGCTCTGTGTGTGTGTGAGTGAGTGTGTTGTAGGCATGAGTGGCGCGCCGGGAGTGCATCGATCACTGTCAGTGGGCGGTGCGATAGGACGGCCCACTTTTGCAGAAACTTTTTTAGCCGTACAGACAGTTGTGTAATCGTATATCAATACCACGACGACTGCTAGTGATCCCAACCACGACCTTCTGGTGGTACGGATTGGTGGGCGCAGTCATCGCACACATAGACACACACTCACACTGCCTGAGCGCTTAACACAGGGAGATATAGGGAGAGATTCCGGGAGAGTATGAGAGAGTATTGAGGAGAGAGAGGCGATGTATGCGCGAAGAACTGGGCGGTGATTATGGTGTTGTAGGCTCTGTTCACGGGGAGAACCGGTCTGCTTAAGGCCACGACCAATGGCTCACTAACTGTAAGGCATGTTAAATGTGGATCCCTTTCCACAACTGCCTGAGCGTTCGTCGCAGACACACCACATCACCACTCAGTTCCCTAACAGTTCAGTATATCGTTGAGACAGTTTGTGTGAACACATCCACAGCCGATGGTTGTGCTGTTGTCGACCGACGCTCTCTCTCTCTCTCCTATCCGTACAGTATTTTTGTCGCACATATAAACCATTCAATACTCCGACCGCTTATTGAACGCCACTTTGTATTCCTGTAATACTGTTTATATATTTAGTTTTTTGGGAAACAATTTTCAAATTCAATTCAATTCGTACGAAGAGTTTGTTATTATTATTGTTTTTCGTCTTCTCATGGCTTAAGCTTAACAGTAAGAAAAAACTCTTGAGTTACAAATTGATTAAACATTTGTAACAAAACAAACAAATTTTGTCTCATCATAACTGTTATGAGTTTTTTGCTAAATTATTTGAAACGATAATAAGTTTTTGTCATTAATTTTATGAAAATATTATTCATAATATCGTCGAAAAGAATTAGAAACACGAGTTTTGAATGAAAAATAAGTTTAATATTCTGTGCAATCGATTATAAATTAATAAATAAAAAAGCAAAACAACTAAAAAAAGTTTTGCTCTTTTTCTGCTCTCTCGTCGTCTCAATTGATAAGAAAGTTGTGTTGAAAACCAATACTTAATAATAAATAAATTACCGAAAAAACTAATAATAATTACATAATAAGTCATATGTTTTGAATTCGGTGTCCGATCACTGAATTGACTGAAATTAGTAGCAAATAATATCTCTGTTAATCAAAAGACCCCAACATTTGTCTAAATTGATTGTTAATTGTAATAACATTGTTGTTTGATGTGCTGATGACTAACCCAGTTGTGCATCGATTGATTGGTGCATTGTGTGTCTGTGCAGAGAAATGGCCACTGGCTCCTCGTCGCCCTACCTCAACCACCTGTCCCATCACGACCAGCACATAATGCAAGCGGTGGCCACTCAGTCCATGTCGTACGGCCGCGAGCCGCCCGAACTCAAATACATGCCACACCACACGCAGAGCCCTAATGGGCACTCACTCAGCGCCCACCACCAGTGGGCCGTCGGCCTGCCATCGCACGCCACCGACAACATGAGCCCCTGGACGCCCACCGGCATCCACGGCCTCCACCATCAGGACATCAAACCGAACGGGCCGTCCAGCGCCGACATTCACGCCTCCATACACGCCCACCACCGGTCCAATCAACACATGGCTTCGTCGCATCCGTGGCACCCGTCGTCACTGCACGCCTCGTCGGCCCACATGACAGCCATGACTCCGCACAGTAACGGCTCGTCGCCGCTGCAACACCACGGCTACGGCATGAACGGTATGTTAGCGCACTCGGCGGGCAACGGGCCGTCGCAAGTGCTGCACCCGGCGATGCGGGGCGACCTCAGCGTACACAACGACATGAGCCGATTAGACGACATCCGCGCCGGTTCTGTCGGCCTTCACGGCGATCACAGGCACTCGGAGAGCGCCGGCGAAGAGGAGACGCCCTCGTCGGACGACTTGGAACAGTTCGCCAAACAATTCAAACAAAGACGAATCAAACTGGGCTTCACTCAGGCGGACGTGGGTCTGGCGTTGGGCACCCTTTACGGCAATGTGTTCTCCCAGACGACGATCTGTCGCTTCGAAGCGTTACAATTAAGTTTCAAAAACATGTGTAAACTGAAGCCATTACTCGCCAAATGGTTAGAGGAGGCGGACTCGACCACCGGTTCGCCGACGAGTATCGATAAGATCGCAGCGCAGGGACGCAAACGCAAGAAGCGCACCAGCATTGAGGTGTCGGTGAAAGGGGCGCTGGAAACGCATTTCCACAAACAGCCCAAACCGTCGGCTCAGGAGATCACAGCACTGGCCGAACACTTGCAGTTAGAGAAGGAGGTCGTGAGGGTCTGGTTCTGCAATAGACGGCAAAAGGAGAAACGCATGACTCCGCCGACCGGTGCAATGGACGGCTCAATGATGATGAGCCCACACGACAGCAGCGGCCATCAGATCAGTCCACTACATCATCCACACTCACACAGCCCTCCCTATTCACCGCAACCACATTATTGACTATAAATGACTGACAGAGACATTTGCATTGACTGTAAGAGACAATTGAATTTTGCAGACAATTATATATCGTATAATTACATAAAAAATAATACAAAAAAACTTTTAGTATTAAACAAAGTGTACAAAAAATATTAATAATAAACAGAAATATACAGTATGTGTGCTCTCAAAAAAAATCGGTGTGAAAAATGTTTTTTATTATTATTATTATCGAAAAAAATATTATTTCAATACAATATCCCGAAAGCCGAAGACATTGAACGCTGTGGTCGTCTCTCGAGAGTTGTGTAAATCGATTGCAAAGCCTTTTCTCTCTCGCATACTATCTCTCGCCTCAAACGCACTGTCCGTACGTATGTATATAAATATAAGCCGAATATACAGTAGAAATATGTTTGAAAAGTATATATAAATGTACGTAAATATATGACAGAAGAGAAGGACATATATATATTTTGGCTGTAAAAACAGATATATTTGCTGCAGAGCTGATGGCATGTATAGATTAGTGAATACATTTTGGTTGGATAACCGCTTAAGACACTGACGGCTCACCCAATCCTTTAAATACATCAATCATTAACTGAATGAGAGGCCAAAGAGAGAGTATATGTATAGACTGAGAGAGAAGGGCAGAGTTCGGGAGAGGGAAGGAAAGAGAGAAATATATTTACGAAGAGGTTAGAGATGAAGATAATGGACACTAATATCTGTTTGTCCGGTGAAAGAGGGAGAGGACAACACATTTGGCAATATTTTAGTCATTATTCACAAACATATTGTTCATAATAAATGAAGAAAACAAAAGGCATTCCTCCTGTTCGTCGTCGTCGTCGTCTCAACCGATATATTCACACATTCCTAACCCACACGAAGAGCCGACCCGTCGGTCCCATCGGTGGAGACCATCGCCTCATATCGTCGGCGACGACAGACACCAACAGATCCACGACTGAATCCATCAAACGACTGAATATTATCACAAAACTCATCAAAACATCAATAATAAACAGAAACTCTTGTGCTCTTCTCAGTTGCCATTGAAAGACATCACACATTGAAAAATTTCACAACATTTGTATCATTTGAAACATTCAAAAATTGGTGAGCAGTAACTGAATATAAAATATATATAAATAATAATTAATAATTAGCCCTCGATTTCCAAAAGAATTTATACTCCCATTCCTTCCCTCTCTCTCTATTAAAAATCCTATCATTTGAGACAAACTTCAGGATAGTTTCAAAACGCATGCATTTTACTTAATAAAATTTACGTATATATTGAAATACATTTGAAATTAATATATATATTATTGTAGATAATAATTGATAATAATGTGGATAAAAATTATTTGTTTCGATTAATTATAATTATTATTATATATCAAAAAACAAAATATTAATTATTATTTCCTCTGTTTTTATCTTAATATTATTATTATTACTTATTATAATTCTCTTTTAGTTAATAATAATATAATTATTATATATTTTTTGGCTAAACATTTGATTGATTTATAAAAATTTCCTAAAATACAAGTTAATTATTTCCCTCTTAATTGATGCCACTTTTCAATCAAATGAAATTTTTAAGACCCGATTAAAAATATGTTTGTCTTTTGATTTTTAATATTATTTCTGTTGACAAATAATAATTTAAAAATACATAAATTTGTAATTCATTTTTTAAAGATTATATAAAATGATTCATTAAAAGTAAAAACATTTTTTGCCAAAAACACATCCGATTTCCCAATTTATTTGCCCACAAAAACGGCAATTTATTAATCGTTAGGATTATAATCACTATTAGTGTGTGTATTATATATTTCCACGTTTTTATTAGTTTATAAACAATTATATCATTTAATATTCAAATGATATGTGAGTTTTTTGTTCCTCTTTTTTTTAATGAATATATGTATTACTTCTCTGTGATTAGTGTTTGATATAAAGTATATATAAAGTTATACATTATTATGATTGTAAATGTATAACAATGGGTAGGGTTAGTGTTACGGCCCTATTGTTATATACATAAAATATACAATCAAAATGTGGACAAAAAGTCATATCAATATCAATGATCGGCACATTTAGATCAATAATTAGTTCGGTAGAGAAATCACATAAAATATAATATCATATATGGTTACCAAACATTAACTTCTGCCACACTATTAATAAAGTGTGTTTCGTATAGGAATCCTATGATTTTGGCGAACAAACTATATAAATTATATATTATTTTATATATTATAATATAATAATGTCTGAATTGAACTGTATTTGACTTGTAATACATGAGAATATTTGGTGAATACATGTTAGAGTACGGGGAGAGTGACTGCCAGTGAGGGAGAGAGAGATTAATTTTTTTTGTTCGTTGTGTTTCTCTATGGGCTCTCTGTGTCCGCCAAATGTTAACTTATTATTATATTTTGTTTTAAGCGAATTTATACCTGTTTTTTGAGTGAAACGCTCGGTGTTGTAGTTTCAAGGCTCAAATTAAGCAGTGTCACGCTTCACGTAATGCAATATATGCCTCATAAAAAGCACCTCTCTCTCTCTCTCTCTCTCTCTCTCTCTCTCTCTCCTCAATATCCAAGTGCTTTTGTATACAGTATTAGGCGACTATATGTTGTGTTTTGTGTGCTCTTCGCTTATTCAGCGCCTATACCTATAGTTTTGTACTCTTTTTTATATATTTTCTCGACTATATTGTTGAGAGAATATATGTTAGGATATACTGTATATGTATTATATATACAACACATAAGAAATATATATTGAAAAATGTCTTTTGAAAGTAGGATAAAAGGAAAAAGTAAATTGACACAAACCGGGCGATGGGGTGCCAAATGTCAAATGCTATTCCCCGCTATGTTTTCCCTCTATTTCGACAAAAATCTGTTCAGTTTTAGGCAATATTTAAGCTAAAAATTTGTTTATTTAATTAATAATTTTGTATTTCATTTAAATGTCATCAAAAACACTAGTTTTTACGCCAAATGATCTAATTTTCTATAAATAATGCTAATTATTTCAAAATAAAACACACATTTCTATTCAATCTATAATAACAGTTATACAATAATAATGATCAATGTGTTGATTAAATACTAATACTGAATATATTATAATTCAATTAAAATTAATTAATTCCTGTATACATATATTAAATTTATTTAAATACATATAGATAACATTGACCCCATCCATACAAAAAAGGGAAGGAATGGGAGTATAAATTCTTTTGGAAATCGAGGGCTAATTATTAATTATTATTTATATATATTTTATATTCAGTTACTGCTCACCAATTTTTGAATGTTTCAAATGATACAAATGTTGTGTGAATTTTTCAATGTATGATGTCTTTCAATGGCAACTGAGAAGAGCACAAGAGTTTCTGTTTATTATTGATGTTTTGATGAGTTTTGTGATGATATTCAGTCGTTTGATGGGTTCAGTCGTGGATCTGTTGGTGTGTGTCGTCGCCGACGATATGAGGCGATGGTCTCCACCGATGGACCGACGGGTCGGCTCTTCGTGTGGGTTAGAAATGTATGAATATATCGGTTGAGACGACGACGACGACGACGAACAGGAGGAATGCCTTTTGTTTTCTTCATTTATTATGAACAATATGTTTGTGAATAATGACTAAAATATTGCCAAATGTGTTGTCCTCTCCCTCTTTCACCGGACAGACAGATATTAGTGTCCATTATCTTCATCTCTAACCTCTTCATAAATATATTTCTCTCTTTCCTTCCCTCTCCCGAACTCTGCCCTTCTCTCTCAGTCTATACATGTACTCTCTCTTTGGCCTCTCATTCAGTTAATGATTGATGTATTTAAAGGATTGGGTGAGCCGTCAGTGTCTTAAGCGGTTATCCAACCAAAATGTATTCACTAATCTATACATGCCATCAGCTCTGC